CCTGAAGAGCTGAAACACCGCGCAGTCTCCAGACGACCCTGAAGATCCTGAAGAGCTGACACTGCATCGTCTCCAGACAAACTGGGAGACCCTGAAGAGTTGTAACACTACATCGTCTCCGGACGACCCTGAAGAGCTGTGATACCGTGTCGTCTCTGTGCTGTACCGTGCTGCCCACAATAAACAGACGACACTGTCGTCTCCGTGCTGTAACACTACGCTGCTTGCCCCGGCTCTCACTCCTTCACTCAGGAAACCCGTTCGGCTGTCCCCCCGGGTCGGGACACTGTGTTTTCCAGACAGTCAGACTCTCCCCAGGATGGGAGGCAGTAGTGGATGCTGATGATAAGCAACTATGCATGACCCAGACTAATTAGGTTTTGGACTGTCTTGTCTGGGACAGTACAGGTGCCCCATAAATCTAGGGATGCTACACATTTGATGGCAAGGTTCTTTCTTGTAGTGGTTTTAAAAATATAGTTCCTGAGACCAGCAGTTAGTGTAATGGCTGTGTCGCTGAACTCCCATGTAGCTGACTGCAGTTCAAGTATCAGACCCGGTGGCTTAAACTCACGCCAGGCGCATGTGCATGTGTCCCCAAGATCCGAAGAGGAGAATGGAGGAGAAGGGATTGCAGTGCGGCCATCCCCCTGGGATATATATATATATAGTTCCTGATCTCAATGGTATTCATTTTTAAGAATTAAAGAAAGTCTGACCCTTAAATACCTGCATCCTAACCATGAGAAAATAAGCAATTACAAAATCAGTTAATGTTGCTTCAAAATCAGAAAATGTCTACTCTTTCATTTACCGACTTTTTCTTTCAGTATATGCTCTGAATAATAAATATTTTCAGCAATGTGAACCATCGGTAGCTATGCATTTAATTAAAAAAAAAGCAGGAAAGTGGTACAAATTAGGTCACATGGATAGCTATACTAAGAATCTGCTTTCTGAGAGTTCTCAGAGGGCTTGTCACAAGGGCTTCTGTGTCAGCCTGGGCTACTGTGGATGACTTAAGTGCTGGGATTGTAAATTGTTACCTGCAGTTTTTGGCACTTGGATACACCCATATGAGAGTGCCTACTACCATTCTTCTGCCTTCCTTCAGCACTGACTGTAGTCCAAGCACAAATACAGGCTCTTTCTCAAGTATTAGACAAAGCTGTGAGTTTAAGACTTGACTTAGAGCTGGCGATTACAGAGAGACTTCTACGCAGAGAATAACTTACAGATGGCTACTAGATATGGCCAATAGCTTTTAGAGCCCTGAGTTCCCAGTACATTCTTTGGGCCTCCATAGGACTGCCCTCTGCTCAGAGTCAATGCTCTCTCCTTAAGGAAGAGGCCAGGTTTTCTTTATTATCTAGAAACAGCTTACATATACCTCAGTCACAAAGTCTAGGCCAATGTCAGGAGTCAGAAAGAGGAAGGAGTTTCTTAACTCTAATTCAGGCTTCTCCCTTTTCTGTTCTTGTCTTTTATGTTAAAGATGACTGATCAATGTATTGGGTCATTGGGAAAGTCATGACCCATTTTTGCATAGAAAAACACATCCTGACAACCTAATAGTATCTATTTCCTTTAATGAAGACTCCATCCA